GCCAGCCATGCTGGCTGGGGAATTCTGGGGGTTGAAGTCCACCCATCTTCATTGGGCCAAGGTTGAGAAACACTGCTTTGAATTGTGATTTTACTTGCTTCAAAGGGTTCCTTTCCTCTGCATGTCTGAATGCAGGTAAACTTGGTAAATACTGTGAAAATGAGCACATCCTTTTATTTTTATTTTTAATCTCGAGGGGTATGCCAATCTGCTGCTTTGCCCCAAGTATGCTTTTCAACAGGCAGCCACCTCCTTACCCAACATAGGTTTAGTACAGTGGTGGGCGACCTGCTGTTTTCAGATGTTTGAGATTTCAACCCTTCCCCTTTGTTTTGGTTTCTCCCTAACTTAGGGTTCAGAAGGTAAAATCTTTGGGGCAGGGACCCATCATCTTGTGTCTTAATTGTGCCCTGCAACAGCAGAACTTTGTAGGTTAATCACAGTGCTAGTGTGTGTAGAGAGCATAGAGCATACCCTGTGTAGAATATGCTCCACCTGGTTTAGGGGACATTCCACTTAAATATTCAAGTCTACAATCTTAAGCTCTCAGACTGAATTTGGATATGTTGCTTTCTCTTTTGTGTCCCTTCCTCCTGCTCTTATCCAGTTAGCCATCCATCACACCAAAGTGGGCCAGGTCTGGTGTTGACCCTGGGGCAAGGTGATCTTGGACAGTTGGGCCTTGGACCAGATGTGCTGGCACGGAAGAGGCCTGCCCTGGTGCAGCTCCCTGAGAAAATCATCCAGGCTGAGGCAGGAGGAGTTCATACAGTGTGTCTCACCGAAACAGGCAAAGTGAGTCAAAAAATACCTTGGTTTCCTATGGAATACTTTGTTATGAGCATAGTGTGCTTAAATTACACTACTTTCTAAAGACTTTCCTGAACCTAGTATTCTCTTAGAGGCATAAGCTACTAAGAAAAATAATTCCAAGATTTTGGGGCCACCACCAAGAAGGCCAACCTAACTAATGTGAATGTCTGCCTTCCTACAAACATATGGCTTGATCTTAGATTCTTTTCTCACCTGCTGTGTGGTAATCAAATCTCCATTTCCTGGTTTTGGAATTTGAAGTAGAATTGAACTTGCTTAAAAATGGAACTTGATGCTTCCAATCACCTCTCTGTGCTCTTGAGTTTGAGAGAGAGCTGAAGCAGATGACCACTTTTCTTCAGGGAATGGAAACCTTGGATTCCTTGCCAGATTTGAACAGTTCTGATGTGTTTTGCCTTAAGCCCCAAAATGGACAAATCAATAATGCTAATCATCTTCCATAACTGCTACCCATTAGTGAAGCTACTTTAAGGGTTTCCTCTTCCTGTTTAGGCTGATAGGTTGTCTCACAACTGACAAACTGTGGAAGTTCTATTCCTGGGCTTCCTTCTGAATTTTGTTTTCCACTGTGACACATTCTCTCCTTCCAGATCTACACCTTTGGCTGCAATGACGAGGGGGCCCTGGGGAGGGACACTTCAGAGGAAGGGTCTGACTCTGTGCCAGGCTTGGTCGATCTGAAGGAGAAGGTGGTGCAGGTGTCTGCTGGGGACAGTCACACAGCAGCATTGACAGAAGATGGGCATGTCTTCATTTGGGGTGCTTTCCGGGTAAGTTACCTGGTTTGCTTGGGAGAACATCTGTCATGTTTGGCTTCCTTGTTTGGGTTGTCCATCATCTCTTTCTCTTATACATCTTCATCTTCTTAGGATGAAAATGGCGTTATTGGCTTGCTGGCTCCTGTGAAAGGTGAAGAGGGTTTGGAGTCCACCAGCGGCAGCTTGTTCCCAGTGGAACTGCAGCTGGATGTCCCAGTTGTTAAAATTGCCTCTGGTGAGTGACCCTGGCTACATTCATATTTCTCACCAAACTAGGAATTTTTAAAACCAGGGTTGCCAAGCAAGCAAGTCATGTTGGTCTGCTTCCCATGCAACATGCAGCTCTAACGGTGGGTTCATACCTTCAACTAACCCCCAAATGAACAAATGTTGAGATGGCGTAGTAAATTCATGAACCTAGTAAGTGGCTGATGTATAGCTGGGTTTACCTTCCATTGAGTAACATTTTTAAAAAGACAGCATTCCCTCATATATCGATTTTGAAAAAGGACAGGGGTCAACTGTCTAGTTCAGGATTGCCCCCTGACAAGGGGGAGGTGGAGAGATAATTTTTTAAACTCTTTTTTATTTATTAGTGAAATGTAACAAAGATAAAAATAATACAATGGTGGTAATACAGTCAGAAAAAATATGCATAATGGTGATTAAAATTAACTAAAAAAGGACCATATAATACTAGTTTAATCTTTTAACATATTATTAAATCTAGATCATGTAGGAACATACTGCTCCAAGTTCTCATTTTTACAGTACAAAAACCCTTCAAAAAACAATAGAGAACACGTCTCCTGGATCTGTTCTTTAACAGCTGAAGTGTACATTTCTTCCCATCCATGTAAGATGGCTCTCTTTCCGAGCCCCTTCATAAAACATCAGATTCCATATTTTTGGAGTATATACAATTCAGGGTCCCATCACAATTACATCTTTAGTCATCAGAGATATAATTTTGGGGGGAATTCCTGAACCACAGACGAAGCAGTTCGTCCTCTTTTCAGGGAGCCATCACTTAGCCCTAGTGTCCAGTACGGGCAACCTTTACACCTGTGGATGTGGAGACAACGGCCAGCTGGGACGTGTACCCCAAATTTTTGTTGTCCGAGGAGGAAGACGGGGTTTGGGTGAGTTGTTCAGCGCTGCATTTAATTCCTTTGCTTGGGGGCAATCTGGGAGTGCTTGGGACAAGTCCTGAGGAGCTGTCTTGAGTGGAGATGGGCAATGATAGATAGGGGTAAGAGAATGGGGTAGCATTCTCCTTTGCAGCAATTCATTTCTATTTGCTCTCAGAAAGCATTGCCAGAATCTTACATTGCATAGGGGTTAGCTTGAAGGGATTGGAGCCAACCGCAGAAGTTTTGGGGGATGTGTAGCAAAGGGAGGAAAGCTCTCTCCAGTATCCTCCTACAAGAATCCATGATTGGAAGTGATGATAAAGCCTAATAAGTTGTTCAAACCAGACAAGATAGGGATGATCCTTGCAGGAGGCAGACTGTGAAATAGGAATTCAGCCAAGCTCAATGGAACCACATTCTGCCTGAATAATCAGATTTGTAGACTCATCTTTGCTCCTGGATGTTCTGGAGGAAACTGTAGCTAGGAGTGATGCATTAGTGTTACATCTGAACATTACAGTGTACTTCGAGCTTCCTTTGAAGACTTCCTCGAAATTTGCAAGATAAAATGCTGAAGCAGCCAGGAATGCTGGTGGTTGTGTATACTCTCATATCTGTCCTCCGAGGACTTCATGGGTTACTACTCAAAGTGGTGGCATCACCTTTGAAGATCTAAGTGGGTTAGATTTAGGTTACTTTAGAAACTTACTTTTAAAGTTGCTTGCCTGCAGTCTAACCAAACACTTATCAGAGACCCTTTTCTGAATCCCTCTCAAGGAGAAGGTCTAGTTGACTGAGGCCGAAAAGTCCGCTGTGACCTCATGTATCAGTGATATTTAGTTGATATTCTCTTACAGTGTTTCACTGTAACAGCAAAGAACTTGATTCAGCAGCTGTTTAGTTTATTGGATGGATCAGTTTTATCTACTGAATTTGTCTTGTTGCATTTTTTGCCTTCTATGTCTGAATGTGATTATACTTTTCTTTATTGTTTGCCATGCAAGTGGTACCTAAGCATCAGAAAGTCAGATCTTCATCCTTAATGAAATATAATGAATGAATATTGACTTGACTCTTCCTAAGCTTCTTCCCACTCTTCCTCCAGAGCGGCTGTTGCTCCCCCAAGTGGTCACCATAAAGCAGAGAGGCTGTAAGACCAAAGGAAACATCAAGGATGTCTTTTGTGGCTCTTACTCCACTATTGCCATCACCCAGGAGGGACACGTTGTTGGGTTTGGCCTCTCCAATTATTACCAGTTGGGTGAGTTGATGTTTATGGTCCCATAGGATTTGGGATATACCCAGTGTCCTCATGGTGAGATGAACGTGTCTCCAAGGACTTTATGATCCCAAATCAGTGGGTGCTTTCTGTAGGCTAGAAGGGCTTAATATGCCTTGCTTCTTATTTTGAGATGATCCAATCTTCAAGGATCTTATGATCCCAAAAACGGTGAGGAGAGCCTCGTTGCCATTCAGGTTGATGGGATACAGGAGGTGTCCAAAATACTCATGGTGAGATGAGGTGATCTCTGGGGACCTTATGATCCTAAATAATTCAGGGGAAGAAGATGGTTTTCTTGTATCTGATGAATAGGAAAACAGAATGATATTATTGTTTATGAAATTTGTGATGAAAATGCCTTTCATTGTTGCTCTGATTTTGATGTTGGGCAGGGAGGCAGGAGTTTCAGTGCTAGGCACAGAGGGTGGAAAGAATGCTTTGTCCCTCCTCTGACAACATCCTGGGTTAGGGTTAGTTCCATTGCTTGTTGCTGATACACAGTTTCTGATCACCTGTAGCAAAACAGACCTAAAATGGGAGTGGGCTGCTGTTATTACTGAATTAATTTCCTTGAATTTGCTTTTATATCCCCCCAGGTTCCCAAGAAATTGAGACCTATTATTCTCCAAAGATTCTGACAGCATTTAAGAATTCCACCCGATCGTGGGTTGGGTTCTCTGCTGGGCAGCATCACACTGTGTGTCTGGATTCAGAAGGTGGGTCTGTTGCAGATTCATAGGAAGCAGTAGTTTCACTGCTCTTCCCTGGTCAGGTTCCACCTAGGACACTCTGTCCAGATCTGGGAACCACAGTTCAGAAAGAGCGTGACTAAGTAGAGTGTGTTCAGAAGTGGGCTACCAAGATGGTGAGGGATCTGGCAACCAAGCCTTATGAGAAACAGCTAAAGGATCTGGGCATGACTGATCTATAGAAAAGATGACTGAGGGTTGATATTATAGCAATATTCAAATATCTGAAGGGCTGTCATATAGAAAAGGGAATGGACTTATTCTGTGTTGTCCCAGAGGGCAGGACCGGAACCAGGAGATTAAAACTGTAAGGAAGAAGGTTGAGGGTAGATGTCAGGAGGAGCTTCTGGCTGTACAGGAACAGACTACCATGTGAATTGGTGATTCTGCTTTGCTGGAGGTCATCTATCAAACGTGCTATAGTGGATCCTATCCTGAGCAGGGGGTTCAGCTGGAGGACCTCTTCTATCTCTGATTCTGTGATTTGGAAGGATGGAGGAGAGGTGCTTGTAGGCTTCGCTGAAGCATAGTGCTAAGCCAAAATGAAACAGATAACTTTATGGCGCAGTACAATAGGTGAACCTAGCCAAAGTGGAATGGGGGCCAGCAAGATTCTGGTGGCATTGGGTTGATAGCTTTCTTAGGATGAACCTCTGTTCATTTGGGTATGGAAAGGATCTTCACACTACACAATTCCTGACAAGCAGTTGCTGGTCGTATAGTCTTTGAAGAGTTTGTATTGTGGATACTTCTGTATATCTCTGTTGTTGGCTTTATTTGGGCTTCTCTTAACAGGACATGTTTTCTCTTTCTTTCTCTCCTGATATTGGTTCCCAATTTCAAACAGGCACTGTGTATAGTCTTGGGCGAGCAGACTATGGTATGCTGGGCCTAGGAAAAGGAGTTGGTGAGAAGAACTCTCCTACCGCCATCCCCGGGTTGCCCAAATCATCTTCAGTGGCCTGTGGGGAACGGGTTGGCTATGCGGTGACAGAAGATGGTAAGCCTGAGAAAATATGAAGAACTGAGTGTTGACTGTGCGGCTTGCATGAAAAAGTTGTTTATTTTCAGTTACTGCAATAACAGTTGATTTATTTTTAATGACTACGTTTGCATCCTGCCTTTTCTCAAAGGAGCATACATGCCTCTCATCCTTTCCTTTTATTTATCCTCACAACAATCCTGTAAGGTAGGTTTAGGCTCGGAGTTACACTTACTGAGTGAGAATTTGAATCTGTTCCCCTTAGTCCTAGTCTGATACTAACCCACTAGTGGATGTTCTTCTGCAGCTCCAAAATAAGTATTTGTGCATAGCTAGTCCTTGCTTAACTACCACAATTTGACTGGTAGCTCTGTCGCTAAGCGACATGGTTAAGCAAGACATCATGTAACAATCATGTAAGAGCTCACTTCCGCCACAGTCATTAACTGAGTCACCGCAGGTCATTAAGTGAGACGTGATTGTGACTTGCAGTTTTACCGTTTGGCTTCTCCATTGACTCTGCTTGTCGGAAGCTGTCTGTGAAGTGCTCAAATGGCAATCACATGACTACAGGATGTGATGGTCGCAAGGACTGGTTGTCAAGTTACTTTTTCAGTGCTGTCGTAACTTTGAATGGTTGCTAAACAGGGCAGTCATTAAGGAAGGACTACCGGTACAGTGGCAAACTTGAAGCATAGCTACATTTAAAAAGCAGACCTTAACTTTAAAACTCTCATAGTTACTTGAAGTAATAGGATTCTATAAATGTCTAGATAATAGAGATGTTAAATACTAATAAGCTCAACTTCCTTAGAAAAGCTGTAAGGCTATTGGCACTGGGGTCTGTTTTGGAATAAAATGAGGTATTTGTAAAATCATTGAAGTGCATCCTTACACTGTGTCTAACTTGGCTGAGAATTGCTGGCCTTCTAGATATTATAGATTCCAGCAATTCCTAGCATCTGCCACCCTTGGTTACTATGTTGCTTCAAATCCTGGGGTTGTAACACCATAACTGTTGGGTTGCAGATCCTTTTCCCTCAAATATTATTTGTTAGATACCTACCCCACCCATAGATTCCCTTCCTTCATTTTTTTCCCCATAACAACCACCCCGTCAGATATAGGTAGTCCTCGCTTAGCGACCACAATTGGGACTGGCAACTTGCGGAAAAGCAGAAAATCATGTGACCACAACAGGCTTACGACCTCACGACCCATTTGGTCATTATGAAATATCACATGAACACAACTTAGGATTTTACTTCCACTTTCTCTGTTAACTGCTTGTCGCAAGCCGGTTGCAAAGCATGTGAATGGTTATCACATGACTGTAGGACGGTCGTAAAGGTGTGCTGGTTGCGAAGTGCCCAAATGGGAGTCGTGACCATGGGACACTGCAACGGTTGTAAATGCAAGGATTGGTCGCAAAGTTGTTTTTTCTTTTACACCGTCATGACTTTGAACTGTTGCTAAACCAGGCAGTCGGTAAGCGAGGACTACATGTATGTTGATCTAATGAAGGGTGATTGACCCAAAGTTGCTTCATGGCTAAGGTTGGCGTGAACCCAGGTCTCCTTGTTCCATGTCCAGCATCTTCACTTCTGTTCCTCAGTAGCTCAGATATATGCAGGAATTACCCAAGACGATCAGCTATGCATCTCTTAGGTAGGGAATGGCTGCTCACTGTTCTTGACCTTCATATTCTACCTCTCTGTAGGTCACGCCTTTGCCTGGGGCATGGGGTCAAACCTCCAGCTTGCCACAGGAGATGAAGAGGATGTCTGGAGCCCTGTTCAGATGTCTGGCCAGCAGCTGGAGAACCGCAGGGTTCTCTCCGTGACAGCAGGAGGGCAGCACACGGTCTTACTCGTCAAGGACCAACAGAGCTGACAGTCTGTTCCTGCAGTTCCACCAGGAACCCTCCAGGGGGCACTCCCTGTCTGAGTCTTTTGGGGCCAGGTTTTGAAGACTGCTTTTCTTTGGAGAAGAAAATTAGCTGAGATAAAATACTCTTCAGAATGCTGGAATTTGTTTAAATCCAAAGCGGCTTATCTTGTGGTGTCAAATTGGAAATGGAGACAAGCCTTCCCACCCTTAAAAAAAAAAAAAAGAATCAATGTCTAAAAATCTCTTTTCTGCCATTTTTACTTTCACTAGTTGTTTTCCATGCTTTTATCAATCATTTCAGAATCTTCTGGAATTTGCCCCAGTTCTATTCATCACCAGGTTTGGGACTTCACCTTTGCTACGTTCTTAGCTATTTATTCTTCCCTTTTAAAAGTTTTTATCTATCACAATGCTTGCATCTATGTGAGGACCTGTGGCCTTTTCATTTTAAGTGTAGCAAAGTCTGCTACTTCTTCCACTGCATTTCCTCTTCTGGCTGAAGCAGGAGAGCAAGTTGGAATGACACCCAAAGCCTTCAGAGGGTGCAGTTTCTTCCACCAAGGTAACTTCCTAAAGAGTCAGGGCGATGTAGGCAGACTACAACCTCCATCACCTCCAGCCAGTATGCTCCAAGGACAAGCTGGTTGAAAGGGAGGAGCAATGTAGATAACCACATCTTCAAGTTGGATGCCTTAGCGAAAGGACACAATTTGGTTTTATTTTCCCTTATTCCAGGAAGGAGTCGCTTTATCCTAGCAGGGAATCTGAATTCCTGAATCTTGTGGTTGGGGGAGAAACAGGGTTCTTAAGTGGAGGGTGGGTAGAAGATCTCTCCTTTTGGAGAAGTTCCTCAGGGTCTTCTTAGAGAGCTCTTATTGTGACTCCAGTTGATGCAACTGCTGATCTCCTGAACCGTTGAGTGTGAGCACAGATTTCAGTGTCGCAGTGCTGCCTGGGACATCCACAAATCCTGTTTTCCATATTTAAAGAGACACCTCTGGTTATTTTTTCTTGGAAAAATTAGACCCTTGAATCTAGGAGACCAACTCCAAGTTCTCTCAAGTGTTCCTTCGTTAGCTGCCTTGGGTGAATAGCAGATTGATTTCTCCAACTTGGGGGGCATGCTTTTAAACAATATTTTCACTTAGCTTAACAGATATATGTAACTGCTTGTTCCAAGGACCTCCATGTCAGTTGAAATCCTCAATAAAGCTGAAGGAGTAAAACCAGCCAAAGAAAAGCCATTTTTAGATCATGGGAAGTAAGCAGACTGAGATGGAGACATTTTGCCACGCCCTTTGAAATGCCAGCCGTGTTCTGTCATCTACTGCAGCTGAAATTTAGAATAATTTGTGCAATTCTAGAAAAGGGTGTCTTTTTAAAATATGGAGTTCCTGCAATCTCAGGAACCCATGGGAGGGGAAATTTGGAGAGGTAAGGAAAGTGAAAAATATATCTTTGGTAGCATTTGCCAAGGAAACACAAATCTGTGAAATTCTAACGTTTGAAATAAATTTGAGTTTTGATAGTTCTGTGTTTGTGTCTTATGTAGAGCAGTTGAAGGTGCATTGCCTAAAGCAAAGGTAGGGAACCTATCACCCTAAAGATACCAAATGATGGGTTTCATCATCTGACTTGGCTTATGCTGGTTTAGGCTGGAGGTGGTTGGAGTACAAAAGCCTCGGAAGGGCCCCGGTTCTTTCATCCCTGCTGTTGGCAATTCTAGAATCTTTTTGCTGTTTTTGTAGCTGGAATTGCCCTAAGAATGCATTCTAAAAAAATAAGATTGCTAAATCACAGTTCTGCAAAAAACATCTGTATTTATCCTTTTGTGCATGTGTGCGCACGCACCTTCAAGTCAGTGTTGACTCCTGGCAACTGCCTGGATTAGTCCCTGCAGTTTTCTTGGCAAGATTTCAGAAGTGGTTGGCCCTTGTCTGCTTCCAGGAGCTGAGAGAGAATGACTGGCTGGTTTTGTGCCTCAGGTAGGGCTAGAACTTAGTCTCCTGGTTTCTAGCCTGGTACCTTAACCACAACACCAAACTGGCTCTTCTGTATTTTTCCTACCAGTTGTGAATTTGCTTGCAGAGTTGTATTTGAAAACACAAAATTACAGAGAAGTTTTCCTAGATGAATTGTATTCCAAAGTGGCCACGTGATGCACAGGTAGGTCAACTTTGCAGCCTTCCTCTTTCCATTAAATCCCGAGGGGAGACATCAGGTGGGAATTGTTTGCAGGTAGCTTTTCTCAGATTGGGAGGCTGAATAGTAGAGTGACGGGCAGCAGAAAACAACTACAGCAATAGTATGTCCTGCTACCTCCAACACTACAAAAAGCTAAAATACAGCCTAGAGGAATTCAAAAGACCTACAGGTGAGCTGAGAATACTATAGTGTGGAACCACAAGCTTCTCTGGCAGGGTTAAAATAGCACTACTAAGTTAGGAATGGGGGTGAGAATAGCTGTCTCTATCAAGCAATCAAAGAGGTATTAAAAGCAGGTGAAGAAAGTTCTTATTTCCAGTCTAGTGCAGAAGGTCACATCTGTCACAGGATGCAAATTTTAGAAAAATACAGAACTTCAATGTCCACTTGCTGAGAAGATCTTTGGATCCACTGGCTTCTGGGTTTGAGCCAGTTCCAACTACCAATGATTGAAGAAGGTTCTGCCAACCACTCCAAGAGTATGACTCGATAGATGTAACTGTAAAAGTTAACTGGATTTAACCTGATTTAAATGTTACTTTGATTCAACCAAGCTTTGTGTGAAAGAGTTTTCCTGGTGCATTAGTGGGAGAACGGAGTTGAAAATTATGTTAAAATGTTTGCATACAACCTGTCAACACATGATATATAAACATTGTTGTAAGGAATAGTAACTTTTCTAGATGTGCAATACCTGGGGACAGCAGAAACAAGGAAAAGGAATTAGAAAAAATTATAAAAAATAGAAATTGAATGATAGAATAGGTAGATTATGGAAAAGATCTTACAAAATCATCCCTCTAGTTCAGGGTTCCTCAACCTCAGCAACTTTAAGATGGGTGGACTTCAACTCCCAGAAT